TACACACACAATACATGTTTGGACACTCACACAATACACATCCGTATACACACAATGCATATTAGTGCGTACACACACAGTACATGTTTGGACACACACAATACACATCCATATACACACAATGCATATTAGTGCGTACACACACAATACATGTTTGGACACTCACACACGTTCTTTCCTTCTCTGAACACCCTTTCCCTCTGCCTTGTTTGTTGTTCTACTTTCCCTACAAATTTCTACATCCCCTGTTTCCCCTTCCTTTCTTTTATTTATTTCTTTTATTTATTTTAATTTAATTTTTTTGAGAGAGAGTCTCATTCTGTCACCCTGGGTAGAGAACTATGGTGTCATCATAGTTCACAGCAACCTCAAACTTTTAGGCTTCAGCAATCCTCTTGCCTCAGCCTCTCTAGTAGCTGGCACTGGAGGTGTGCACCACTGTGCCTAGCTAGTTTTTCTGTTTTTAGTAGAGATGGGGTCTCCCTCTTGCTCAGATGGGTTTTGAACTCCTGAGCTCAGGGATACTCCCTCCTTGGCCTCCCAGAGTGTTGCAATCACAGACACGAGCCACCACACCTAGCCTTCCTTTCTTTTTTAATTCTATTACCAAGTTCAACAGGAGGAACCCTCACACAGTTTTGGCTAGGCGGGCCAGCTTTATAACTGTCTTCTGGAATCATTATTAAGAATGTTCCTGGCTGGGTATCGTGGTTCATGCCTATAATCCTAGCACTCTGGGTGGCTGAGGCAGATGAATTGCCTGAGCTCACCAGTTCGAGATCACCCTTAGCAAAATTGAGACCCAGTCTGTACTAAAAATAGAATCACTAAAGCAAGAGGATCACTTGAGCCCAAGAGTTGGAGGTTGCTGTGAGGTATGACACCAAAGCACTCTATCCAGGCTGACAGTCTGAGACTCTGTCTCAAATAAAAGAGAGAAAGAAAAGAATGTTCCCTTTCTCTCTCAAAAAGTGTCCTCAGTTGGATGACAATTGTGTGTGTATGTGTGTGTGTGTAATAGGTTTTTAAAACCCCTGTCCCTGGGGAAAGTAAGCTGGTATTTCCTGGGATTGGAAGCTGGGGTTAAAGCAACAGAGCTGTGTGTAGGAAGGGCTCTACTCTGCCATTTCTGTATCACACTACTTTTATTCCTTTGTACTAATAATGCTAAAATTTGCATTGCAGGATCTCGCTTCTGGGTCAGAAAATGACAGGAGTGACTCAGCCTCACAGCCTGGCCACCAGTTAGACTCTGGGAAGCAGGGGCTCGGCCCCACCAGCACTGCCACCCCCGTGCACACTGCGGTGAAGGTAAGGAGGAGCCATCCTGGAGCGGAGCCTTCTGAGTTAGGATGGGCAATGTGAGGACAGCCATAGAAACCCAGGTGTAGGTTCAACCTACCAGGAATGTCTCAAGACAGGAGATGAGGAGGGAGCCCTCGCCGTACGTGCACCAAGGTTCTATTAGCTATGCAGCAAAGCGCAGGCCTTCTCTGCTGTGGAGAAGCCTGCGTGTCTACATATCTTTGGTATCACAGCTCAGCCAGCATGTTTCTGACTTAAAATACCTTATAAGCCCACCCTTGAAATACACACAGCCAACAATGCACACAAGACGTGCAAGCACCATAAAACAGGCACAGAGCAAGTGAATTTTGTGCAAGGGAAGCAGCTCTGAAGAACATGGGTCACGTAAAATCTCTATCATTCAGGCGGATATTCCTATGGAAATAAAGATGGGTGAGGGGTTACATTTGTAGTAGATAAATAGCTATAATCACCTTAGCACATTTTTATGGAATTTTCTCAGCCTTACATCTTCCAACATATGGAAAGCTCACTCATCAATTAACTGCCCAGTAGTTATCTGGCCTTCTGCATAAGGTTTTACCCCGAATAACTTCTAATTAATTGGGGAGCATGTTTTCTCTGCTCTAGTACCACTGCTGAAATGACTCTCTGGGGATTAAGAAAAAAGATTGCAAATTGAAGTAAGACTCAATAATAAAGTAACAGTTGTATGTTCTGAATTGATGGTAGGCATTTCAATTTCCCAGGAAGGTTCCCCCACCAAACCACAGTAGGTTAAACCCAGCTTATGATTCATTCAGTTCCACAGGTTTGAAATTATATGACTATCAGTGGATTTTGTTCACTGCAGAGGAAGGAAGAGGAGGAGACGGTCCATGTGATTTCCAATGTTGTATATAGGAGAAATTTTGCTACTATTTCTATTACAGTATTTAAATTTTTCATAATTCAAATTAGCTAAGTCTTCAACCTCACTGCACTAAGGAATTGTAATAGGATCCCAGAGGAAAGACAGGTCACTGGGGGGGATTGATACTGACACCCGGCGGGAGCATCACCCTTTCTGACTATTCAATGCCTGTGCATTCCCACCTGTTGGGCATGCATCACCTCTAAGTTCAGAGGATACTAGAGGGCTTCTCGAAGAAGCTTTGGGAAAACATCTCTACTCTGTTGACTTTAAAAGATTCATATGAGGCTGGGCACGGTGGCTCATGCCTGTAATCCTAACACTCTGGGTAGCCAAGGCGGGTGGATTGCTTGAGCTCAGGAGTTTGAGACCAGCCTGAGCAAGAGCAAGACCCTGTCTCTACTAAAAATAGAAAAAATAGCTGGGTATGGTGGTGGGCACCTATAGTCAAAGCTACTTTGGAGGATGAAGCAAGAATATTGCTCAAGCCCAATAGTTTGAGGTTTCTGTGAGCTACAACACCATGGCACTCTACCCAGGGTGACAGAGTGAGACTTTGCCTCAAAAAAAAAAAAAAAAAGATTCATTTGAGGCTAAAGAGAGAATGCATAAGAACACACTTTGCAACTAAAAATTCTATGCAAGCAAAAGATAGTCTGCAATCTCTAAGAATGTGTGTCCCCAGATCAAACAAAACATGACTCCTGCCCTCAGGGGACCTGCAGTCTAACTGGGCCATTGGACCACCACTAGCCCCAACAGTGTTTTATGCAAGTAGAAAGACATGTCCCTCAGAACTTGAATAGATATTTTTCCAAAGATAGATAAATGGCCAACAGCACATGAAAGGATTCTCACCATCATTAGTCATTCACGAAATGTAAATCAAAACCACAGTGGACTCCCACTTCATACCCACCAGAATAGCCTGAATCAATCTGGAGAAACCGGGCCACTGGCACACTGCTGGTGAGGAGGTAAAATGGTGTTGCTGCTGTGGAACAGTCTGGCAGCTCCTCAGTAATTTAAGTGTAGAATTGCCACATGACCCAGCAATTCCACTCCTACGTACATACCCCCAAAGGAAACAAACAAAAAACTTGCACATGAATATTCACAGCGATATATTCCCAGTAGTTAAAAGTTGGAACCAACCAAATCGTCCATGAGCTGATGAATGGATAAGTATAATGTGTTACATTCATACAACTGAATATTATTCAGCCATAGAAAGGAATGAAGTACGGAACCTGATATACCATGAACGAACCTTAAAAGAAGCCAGACATGAAAGGCCACATGTTGTAGGGGTCCATTTATTTAAAATATCCAAAACAGGCAAACCCAGGCGGACAGACAGAAAGCAGATTGGTGGCTGCCAGGGGCTGGAGGAAGGCAGGAATGGGGACTGACTCTGAGTGGGTACCAGGTTTCCTTCCTGGGGGATGAAGAAGTTCTGGAACTAGAGAGTGGTGATGTTTGCACAACATTACTACAAAGGTGATTTTTATGTGACTTGTACTTTACCATAACACACAAAAATAAGTTCTCCTTCCCCGGCAGCCACAGGACCCCGTAAGGCCAGAAGCACCTAGGAAGGAGGATAGGGGCTAGATTTCAGCTTCCCTGGCCCCTCAGCAGGACCTGTGTGAGCAGCAGCATTATCAGGCAGCTGAAATGCATCAGAGGACGTCACTGTGAGTTAGAAAAGGCCTCCCGGGTGAGCTGAGGTGTGGCCAGCTCCAAAGGATGAGTGGAGTCAGACAGCAAGCAGAGAGGGTTGTTGTTGCAGACAGCATAAAATTGTAAGAAAAAGAGGTGGGAGGTGTGTGCTGTTGGAAAGAAAAGGTTTTTATTTTATTTTATTTTATTTTAAGTAAATTTATTTCAGGTTAATGTAAGGGTACAAAGAACCAGCTGAAGGTGTTTGATTTTGTTAGATAAGAGTCCCTCTTGTGGTTATGTCCCCCACACAAAAGGTGTGTCTAACACCCCCACCCTGTGCCCATTCGGTGAGAGCAACCCAAGGCCCTCCCCCCTTTACTTCTCCTCCCACCCTGAATTGAAATGAGTTTTTCTTCTATATGGGCATGCTTCAGATCATCTCCTGGCTTCATATTAGTACTGAGTACATCAGATGCTTGCTTTTCCATTCTTGTGATACTTTACTGAGAAGAATGTGTTTCAACTCCATCCAGGTCAATTGAAAAGATGTGAAGTCACCATCTTTTTATGGCTGAATACTATTCCATGGTGTGCATGTACCACAGTTTGTTAATCCATTCCTGAGTTGATGGGCATTTAGGTTGTCTCCATGCCTTGGCAATTGTACATTAAGCTGCAATAAACAATCTAGAAAGGAAGGGTTTTTAGGCAATTTGGTGAACTGTCTCCCCCAGCAGACTACAGAATCTGGACTTCATTTTGCAGAGCAGGGCCAGCAGAATGGGGGCTGCCAGCGTGGTGTGTTGTTTGGCAATGTGGTGTGTGTGTGAGCGAGGAGAGACTCAGGTTGGTTTAAGGAAGTCTGGTGCTATCTAGCCACAGGCCAGGGAAGTCCTGTACTATCATCTATCCACCTCTCCCTCTCACTTTACACTAACCAGTTCACACGTTCTTACTCGGGGCTGTAAGCTCTGGAGTGGATTCATCCCTCAACCACCTTTACAAAGGTGAATGTGCTTCCCTTCTCCTAGCATGCAGCTGAAAAGAGCAAAACAAACGCATGAACACAACCTCAGTGTTCCCTGTGCTCAGAAAGTCAGTGAAAGGGCCTGTTTCCACGGGGTAACAGCCTTTACCCACACTGCCCAGAGAGCATGGTCTGATTTCAGTATCTTCTGGAAGGCTCAGAGCCCACGAACTAAGGCAACACATTGGAAAACACCTTCTGGACCTCAACTTAGCTGCAGCCCGTCCTCCCCGGACCAGGCAGGCCCGAGAAAGAGGAGGAAGAGCGCGGGAGCAAGGCAGAGAAGAGCTGGGTGTGCGACCTCTGCAGAAGCTCTCCAAGGGCAGGAGACTGATTAATGAACCAGAGCGCTAATCGATGAACGAGCAGGGAGAAATAGAGTCACCAAACACACAGAAATATCAGTGCTCGTTTTCATTAATCCCCAGGGAAAAGTCTCTTGGCGAAAACCAAAGAGCCTTCGGTGTTGGGTAGATGCGCTGAGTCAAATCAAGACGTAGGCGCCTTAGGATAAGGTCGTTCTCAGATGTGTATTTTATGGCTAAGACGGGAAAGGTGCCAAGGCAGGCTACGGCTGCCAGCTGTTCAGGTGCCCCCTCTTCTGGACACTGCTGGTATCACACTCTCCCTCCCATATTGTCCCCAATTCCTTCATTATCTGCGGTCATGACATCCGTGTTCTTCATTTCAATGTTCTGTAACAAAGTCAGGTTGGAAATTTTATCTTTTTTACCCTATAACAGGACGGACCCATTGCTTCCTAATATATGAAGACCTTTCGATTTCAGGGGCAGCTTATAGATACAATTACCCTGTTTGTTGGACACCTGTTATTATTTCAATATTATCTTTTACAATCTTTATTTTGATCACTGAGACAGAAAGTAGAATAGTTTCCTCAACTTGCAGATGAGATACCTGAGAAGTCATAAATTTAAGCAATTCTACCACAGTCAAAAATTCATGTTAACTTCTTCACCGGTATCATTAACTTCCCTCGTTATGACCAAATCACAGTCTACAATGGGTGACTTCTTAGGAGGGCTCCAGTGGGTGGCTAGCCCTTCCTATGAAGCTGCATTATTTCACAGTATGTCATTTCCTGATCATGTGCCTGTATTTGGCAGACAGGGGGGAGGTGGTAACCGGTAGATGGAGGAGTTTATCTTATGTCATCCCAAAGCCTTAGACTTTCAGAGGCAATCCCTTTTTCCTTCCTTCCTTCCTTCCTTCCTTCCTTCCTTCCTTCCTTTCTTTCCTTCCTTCTTTCTTCAAAGTCTCACTCTGCCACTCTGGGTAAAATGCCATGGCATCATAGTTCACAGCAACCTCAAACTCTTGGGCTCAAGTGATCCTCTTGCCTCAGCCTCCAGAGTAGCTGGGACTACAGGCGCAGGCCACACAACACCTGGCTATTTTTAGAGACAGAATCTCACTCTTGCTCAGCCTGATGTCAAACTTCTGAGCTCAGGCAATCCACTGCCTCAGCCTCCCAGAGTTCTAGGATTACAGGAGTGAGCTACTGCATCCAGCCCTTCAAAGGCAATCTTAATTGTATCTAAGTTTGTGTCATTAATAAGTCAGTGTATTCAGTGATTAGGTGATTGCATATGAAAAGCATTTTCTTATGCATAATCTCAAGATCAGAGGGAAGGTTTTGCTAGGGCACCACTTAATTTTAGGTTAGGAGAACACACTTGCTGAAACACAGGCTTACATCTCACTCTACTCCAAAAAAGAATCCCAAGCTATTTCTAAGACCCCAGCTGGAGGAGGGTCCTTCCAGTGTGAGACACTTGCAGTAGACTTGCTCATTACGTACAGTAATGTCCTAGGAGTTCTCTGTATCATGTCTTTGCTCTATTGCTTTCTGGGACTGGAGACTGTCCATCAGACAAAACCTCCTCACAACACATCTAGGATGCCAACTCATTCTCGGTCATCACTTAAAGCACATGCCATTTCCCCATACTCTTTACAGTCCAAGTCCCTGGGGGACAGTAAGAACCGCCACAAAAAGCCCAAGGACCCCAAGCCGAAAGTGAAGAAGCTCAAATATCATCAGTACATTCCCCCAGACCAGAAGGCAGAGAAGTCCCCTCCGCCCATGGATTCAGCCTACGCCCGGCTGCTGCAGCAACAGCAGCTATTCCTGCAGCTCCAGATCCTCAGTCAGCAGCAACAGCAGCAGCAGCAGCACCGATTCAGCTACCCTGGGATGCACCAAGCTCAACTTAAGTAAGTCAGGAAGCCTGGGGTGGTGGCTGCAGGCAGAGGTTGAGAATGGCTTCTCTCTATCAGAGATACAGGGCCAGCACCTGGGGCCAAGTAAGTCCAGTATTGCACCATGCCCTTATTCAGTACGTTTGAAATATAACTCTGTTTAGAAAGCATGTACACCTTCTTAGGACCACGTGGCTTAGAGGAAGCAAATACATTAGTCTCCCTTTATCCCAGGGAATGCGTACCAAGACCCAAATAGATACCTGAACCACGGTATATATGCTACCAAACTCTATATATGCTATTTTTTTCCTGTAATACCTGTGATAAAGTTTAATTTACAAATTAGGCACTGTAAATGATTAACAGTAACAACTAGTAATAAAATAGAATGGCTATAACAACATATTTAATAACAGTTATGTAACTGTAGTCTCTCAAACTATTTCACTGTACTGCACTCATGTATTTTCAGACTACAGTTGATCTTAGGTAACTGAAATCTTGGAAAACAAAACTACATATATGGGGGGAGTATCGTGAATCAATGCCCTTGATAAGTAGCTCCTCTGGGAAAAAGGAAAAGTACTAGCACTTCGAAACTGGAATGTGAGCAATCCCAATAGGCGTCTGCTTTTGGAAGCAACATGGCTGAACAGCTGAGAGACAGACTGGAAAACTAACTCCTGAGCCCAGGTTGTGTGGTCACCTGGCTAGGTCACCTTTTAAATTGTCAATATCCTCACCCTTAAACCTGGGATGTGGGTTCCTCACGAGTTATGGTCATCCTCAGGCCATCCTGGCAATCATGTTGAAAAAGGCACCCTCTCCAGGAGATGGATGTGCCCTCTACCATGTGCCCAAGACCCCACCACTCCCTCTTGTCTCCCCAGGCAAAGCTCTAGAGTCACCCACCACTTGCCATCAAGACTGTGCTGTTTTTTTTCTTCGCCTGGCCTGATCCCTTAGGCAATTACTTTTTGATCTGATCTTAAATGCAAGTAAGCTTACATATATTTGATCATATTTTGACTGTCTTCTTTGTTTGTTTTTTAGAGAACAAAATGAACAGATGGTCAGAAATTCAAACTCTTCTTCAACACCACTGAGCAATACCCCCTTGTCCCCTGTCAAAAACAGTTTTTCTGGACAAACTGGCGTCTCTTCCCTCAAACCAGGCCCACTACCACCTAACCTGGATGACCTCAAGGTTTGGGTTTGACGTGATTTTCTTTTTTTCTATTTTCTTTTAAGCTCACCAGTATATTGTTAATAGCCTACTGATTTCTGGAGTAAGAGAGTGGGAGGGAGGAAAAAATGTGGGAGACATTCAAGAGAGTGATGGAATTTATGCTGCTGTGGTTGAATACCCTGCTCGTGAAGCCTGCTGGGTGCGGCTATCACAGAACCACAATGAGGGAAAGGAAGAAATAAGAGAAATTTGTCACAGTGATCCCAACCCCAAATAGTGATCAGAAAGTAATACAGTGAAGGTGATGTTTGCAAGAGCTGCTCAGGTGTTGACACATAAAAGTGAAAAGGAAGGTGTGCTGAGAAAAGAGTTTGATTTGTCATTAAAAAGATTTAAAAGTTATTAGTATTAGGCCAGGCACGGTGGCTCATGCCTGCAATCCTAACACTCTGGGAGGCCAAGATAGGTGGATCACCTGAGCTTATGCGTTCAAGACAGAGAGACCCTGTCTCTACTAAAAATAGAAAAATTAGCCAAATGTTGTGGAGGGTGCCTGTAGTCCCAGCTACTCGAGAAGCTGAGGCATGAGGATCACCTGAGCCCAAAGAGTTTGAGGTTGCTGTGAGCTGTGATGCCACAGCACTCTACCCAGGGTGACAGAGTAAGACTGTCTTAAAAAAAAAAAAAAGTTATTAATATTAATGATTATATCACAGCTTACAGATTTTTTGGTTTGTTTTCTGTTTCTAAAATAAGACAGAGAGAACATTCAAGACAGAGAGAGAAAAAGAGAAGTTTCAAAACTGGGAAAACATTTAATAGACATTAAGAAATAATTGTCTTAAGGTTTGGTAATGGTATTTTACCTGTGTCTTTTCAAGAATACTTACCTTTTAGTGATAGAGACATATATTTAGAGATAAAATTATATGTTTTGCTTCAAAATAATTCAGGAAACATAGGAGAAGAAGTAAGTTGGAGTATAAAAGAATAAGAATAAGATTGGGCATGAGTTGATAAATTGGTGAAGCTAGTTGAGAAGTACATGGGATTCATTAGATTTTTCTGTTTACTTTTGTGTATGTTTTGGAGTTTCCATAATGCATAGCTTAAAGAGTTATCAATGATTAAAACCTCAGTGGGTGTAGGAAAGAGATGCATATAAACCTCTGTGCCAAAGAAGCCTGGATAGCATAATATTCTAAAACTTAAGATAAATTGAACTCAACCAGTATTCATTTTATGTTAGAACATGAGCTGCATTATTTAATAATGTAGTTTAAATTATTCAGTGTCAGAATAGATTCTAAAAATAAATGTAGGACTCATTAATTTTAAGTAATTCAAAGTTAAACAATAATGAGTTGCCATTTCGTGATTTTTGAAACCAGCAAATCTTAAAAGAAAATGCTAAAACAATGCTGACAAAACTGTGGGGGGAATAGCATATTGACTGCTCGTTGAAGTTGACTCGATCCTTTTTTGATAATGTTTAGCTGGTCATAAAGTAACATATATTCACTGTTGAAATCTGATAGTATATAGAAAAATAAACAGTATTTTAAACGATAATGAAGACTGGCAGAAATCATTACAGATTATATTTCCTTCTAGCTTAAAAATGCATAGGAACATATTTTGTTTTAAAATAATCATTTTAAAAAATTTATGCCTCCATAAATTTCTGGCATCCATTTTTCTAACACATCATAAACATTTTTTATAATGCTTAATATTCCATAAAATTTTTATTTTTTGTAGCAGCATGTCCCTGTGCCAGCTAGTTAGCATTTCAGTGCTGGGCACTCAACTAGCTGCCAAATTTTTGTTATTCTGAATATGATTTCAGTGACCTTTGTGCAGACATTTATTAATGTCTCTGATTATTTCCCCCAGGCTAACTCCATAGGAAGGAAATTTGGCAACATGTTTCAAGAACATTAAAAACTACTCAGACACTTTGGTTCAGGAATTTCTGTCCTGAACGTTTATGCCCATCTATTCCCAGAAGCAACACGTTCAAGCAGCTCTTCTCAAACATTCAGGTGGCCCACAATCACCTGGGGCCTTGTTAACACCCAAACTCTGATTCAGCAGGTCTGGGGAGGGACCCAAGATTCTACATTTCTAACCATCTCCCAGATAATATCAGTACTGCTGGTCCAAGAACCAGAGTTGGAATAGCCAGGTAATAGAGAGCTATTTGCTTTTTTAAAAAACATTTTTATTTATTTATTTATTTATTTATTTATTTTTGCTGTTACTTCATTAACACGAAGCCTTATTAGTCATCTTTCTCAAATTAATAAATACATACATATGTACACATTCATTTTATTTGCATTTCTTGGATTACTGATGATGGTACACACACATTGTTGGCCGTGTTTTAAACTGTATTTTTGTTCATGAAGAGCTGGATCATAGCCTTTGCCTATTTTTATATTGGGTATTATCAATCTTTTTCTTTAATTGGTAAGCACATGTGGTACGTTAAGTTTTTTAACACTTTGTGCTGTAATGATTTTTCCCCAGATAGCTATTTCGGTTTGCATTTTGTTTATAGTTTTCTGACTTAAAGAAGTCTTAACCTTTGTTATCAATATTTCTATGATTATTTTCCTTCCTTTTATGCCCAAAAGAATATCAGAGGAATATTCCCATAGTATTCTGTTTTATAGAATTATTGAAATTTAGGCATTTAATGTTTCTTGTTTTAATGAAAAAAATTAATATATTTATGTGAAACATTTGCAGCATACAAATAAGGAGAACCATCATTAATAGATGAGCATATGGGCCAGATGCAGTGGCTCCCACCTATAATCCCAGCACTCTGGGAGGCTGAGGCAGGTGGATTGCTTGAATTCAGACATTTGAGACCAGCCTGAGCAAAAGTGAGACTCTAAAAATAAGCTGGTATTGTGGTGGGCACCTTAGTTCCAGCTACTCTGGAGGCTGAGAGAAGAGGGTCACTTGAACTCAAGTGTCTGAGTTGCTGTGAGCTATGATGCCACTGCACTCTACTGAGGGCAACAAGGTGAGACTCTGTCTCAAAAAAAATGGTTTTTTGAGCATATGTTTATCGTATTTTTATATATAAACATACATTTAAATATATACAGATATATACATTATTTACATATGTTTTAGAAAACAGAATCAATTCAAAGTTTTTTCCACCTAGTGATATACCATAAACAATTATTCATCATCCAATGTCAACAAATACTTATAACATCATAATACTTTTATGACATAATACATAATATTATAACTTGTAATACTTGGTTTTGTTTCTGAGACAGGGTCTTGCTCTGTTGCCCAGGCTGGAGTGCAGTGACGGCATCACAGTTCCTTGCAGCCTCCCCCACCTGGGCTGCGTGGTCCTCCCTCCTTTGCTTCCCAAAGTGCTAGGATTACAGGCACGACTCCAGCCTGTCACACCAGCATTAGAATTCAGGTTCTGAATTCTATCATTTGTATCTGCTATCATTTTTGTCTGACCAGTTCTCATATTTGTGGAATTCATAGTTTCCAATTTATGAGCATTATAAAAACACAGAAATAAAATAATTACATGTGAATCAACCTAATAATAATAATAATAAAGCCTCATAATTGCACAGCCGTTCTCCAGACCTTCCAAATGCTTTATGAATTTTAAGCCATTTTAACCCTCACAAAAGTATGTCCACTAGGTATGACTACCTCCATTTCACCGACAGGGAACAGGGGCACAAACGGGATTGTCGAGCTGATAACTGACGGTGCTGAGTTTGGACAGACGAGTTACCACCAGTAACTAGCCAGTTGTCAGAACCAGGATGTACAGGTTAACGTGCAGCTGTGGCTCTCAAAGCATCAGCTTCACCTGGGGACTTGTCAGAAATGCACGTTCTCAAAGCCCAGCTTGGACATGAATCAGAGGTTTCGGGGCTCAGCAGCCTGCAGTGGTCCAGGAGGAGGCGGCGGCGGGAGGAGCCCTGACCTGGGAAGTTGGCAGCCTGTGCCCAGCTGAGCCTGGGAACCTTGTGCGAGGAGGGCCTGTGTCTAAATCCAGGCAGATACCAGTTTTCTCATCTATAAATAGGGACTCGTAGCCCGTCGGGGGTGGGAGGGACTCCTGCCATTTAATCCAACTCTATATTTCAATGACTGGCATGTTATAAAGTAAAAAAGAATTGTTAAAATTGTGCAAAACCAGTTTATGTCAGGGATAGGAGATGAAACTGGAAACAAGACATGAATATTGTAAAATGACATTTGTGATGTTTTGGAGCTCATCTTATAATAAACACACTTTAAAAAATGCTGTTGTTAGAGCCAATACTAACATCATCGCTGTATCCGTAGGTCTCCGAATTAAGACAACAGCTTCGCATCCGCGGCCTGCCGGTGTCTGGCACCAAAACGGCCCTCATGGACCGGCTCCGGCCCTTCCAGGACTGTTCAGGCAACCCGGTGCCGAACTTTGGGGACATAACGACCGTCACGTTCCCGGTCACCCCCAGCACGCTGCCCAGTTACCAGTCCTCCCCCTCCGCCAGCGCCTTGTCCAATGGCTTCTACCACTTCGGCAGCACCAGCTCCAGTCCCCCGATCTCCCCGGCCTCGTCCGACCTGTCGGTAGCCGGGTCCCTGCTGGACCCCTTCAACGACGCCTCCCCGTCCTTTGGCCTGCGAGCGTCCCCGGCGCACGTGTGCGCGGAGGAGACTCTGGTGAGCAGCCTGAGCGCTGGCTCCGCGGCATCTGAGCTGGACGGGCTGGACTCGGAGAAGGACAAGATGCTGGTGGAGAAGCAGAAGGTGATCAACGAGCTGACCTGGAAACTCCAGCAGGAGCAGCGGCAGGTGGAGGAGCTGCGGATGCAGCTGCAGAAGCAGAAGAGGAGCAGCTGCTCCGAGAAGAAGCCGCTGCCTTTCCTGGCTGCCCCCATCAAGCAGGAAGAGGCCGTCTCCAGCTGTCCCTTCGCGTCCCAGCAAATACCTGTGAAAAGACAAAACGACGGCTCAGAGGCGGCCTCGCAGGCCTGCGGGGCTGTGCACCTCCCGCCCCGTGGAGGCGCCCCCTGTGTGGAGTCCTCGGCGCCGACCAGTGTGCTTTCTTCCACGTTTCTCAGCCCCCAGTGCTCCCCTCAGCATTCGCCGCTCGGCGCTATGAAAAGCCCACAGCACATCAGTCTGCCCCCGTCGCCCAACAACCCTTACTTCCTGCCCTCGTCTTCAGGGGCCCAGGGGGAAGGGCACGGGGCCCCCTCGCCCAGCAGCAGCCAGGCGTGCCCTGCACAGGTAAGGATGCTTCGTGTCATGCCTGGTGCTTGCCTCTTTCTAAAAGTGGGATGTGAATTCTCAACCTCCTAAGGAGCTGATGTTGCAACTTCCAAGAGGAAAAGTTGACCAAGAGCCCAGCAGCCACTCCTGGACACTGTGACCTGTGAGCCTTTCCCAGTAGACCAGACTCATCCCAGAGACAGGGATTAGCAAACTTGCTCTATAAAAGGCCAGATGGTAAATATGTTTGGCTTGGCAGATCACACTTGTGATCTGGACCACAACTGCTCAGCTTTGCCCTTGTATCAGGAAAGCAGCCGTAGATATTTTGTAAATGAATGCACATGTCTGTGTTCTAATAAAACTTTATTTACAAAAACAAGCAATGAGCAAGAGCTGGCTGTTGGGCTGTAGTTTGCTGACTATTGCTCTCAGGACTTTTTGGGATCAAACCTTACCAAATACAGCAAACCAATTGCCCAAGAGGGCCAAAGGAACATCACTCTGCATTCCAGCCTGAGCACCTACTATGTGTCCAGGTCCTATTCTAGTCTCTGGGGTTTAGTGTCAAACTAACCAAACAAAAATCCCTAATCTCATGGGAAGACAGACAGTAAGCAAAATTTATTAGAAGATGATACATCTTATGGAGAAAAAGCTGGAGGGGGGGATGTGAGGGGCTTGGAAGTTTAAATAGAAGGTCTGGGGGCATTTGAGCAAAACTTAGAAAGAAGTAAAGGCAAACACCTCATGGGGTGAAAGAATGAGGGCGATGGAGGAGCAGCAAGTGCAAGGGTCCTGAGGTTGGAGCTTGTGGGGAAAGTTCAAAGATCATAAAGAAGGCCAGTGTGGCCGGAGCAGAATGAGAGAAGAGTCATAGGAGATGGCTTGGAAGAGGTATTAATTCAAATACTAGACCAAAGTGATCAGAAAAGATTGTTTTCCTTTTGCCCTTGAAACATTTGAGAACAAAAATTACATTATAAAAAGGCTCTGACATGTATATTATTAGAAAAAGAATAGGAAGAAAACTCACATTACTTGAATACCTGCCGCAATCCAAGTATTAGGACACAGGCATATTAGTAATCTCATTGGTCCTCACAACAGCCCTGTGAGGACCATTTTTCTGTATTTGCCATTCAGGGAGGTTAATCCAGTTGCCAGGGATCACACGAATTCAAGATCAGTTGATTATAAAGTACACACCCTTTTCACACTGAGTATCTCTACTCTGAGAGTATGAAGTGTGGCAAAAGGTAATGAGAATGAATTTTTACAAACCTCCCAGAACGACACAGTCCAATAATTACACCCACTCCTGAGGGGGGCTTGTGGGAGGAACTGGGATTTATATGGATTCTGATCACCATTAGCAAACATTTCTTAAAGGTGTACTGTCTGAGGCAACTTTAGAGAAAAAGCTCTGGACCTAACTCTGAATTTGGATGATACTGCAAAGACTCTTTGAAGACATTAAACTTTTCATGATAAAAAGATAAAGAACAATAGAGAATGAAGTGACTGATCTATGGTTATGACATTAAATGCTGTACAAAGTAGGTGGGGAGAGGGGACGGGTTGATCACAGAGCAATAGAAAGATACAGAAATGTTTTGTGAATGGACTTGGTCGTGACAGGAAGTGTAGCAGTAGGAAGTGGAGAAGCAGGAAAGGACACTCCACATGAACAAAGATGGGGCATGTCCTGGGAGGTTCGTGGTGGGAACAGAATAATTTAAGCTTCCGGAAGTCTTGAACACTGCTCCAGGTTAGAAGTGCAGACCCTGTGCTGTGGATAGGTGGGAGCCCCTCGAAGTCTTTGACCGGTAGGTAATTTGTACAAAGCCAGATTTTTAGGCAAGTTCATTTGGTAAAAGAATTTGGGCAGCCTCGTAAAAATAAGGCACCAGGGACTCAGAGCAGGGCCCAGAATTGTTAGCGAATGTCCCACTCAAGCAAGCTACTGCTGGCCATTTAATTTGTCCCTTCTTCCTTTCTACAGAACTCAGGGGCACATGATGGCCACCCTCCAAGCTTCTCTCCCCATTCTTCCAGCCTCCATCCACCTTTTCCCGGAGCCCAGGCAGACAGCAGTCATGGTACTGGGGGCAACTCCTGTCCCAAAAGCCCGGGTGTACAGCAGAAGGTAGGCAACTGGAAGAAGGTTTCGACCTGGGATTAACTTTGCCTCTTCTCTCTTCCGTGGCCCCTGGCCTCCAAAGAGCATGATGAGGTTTCCCTTTAAAGGTAGAGTTAAATTTCATTTTCAAGCAAAACAAGTCTACTTGAAATGCATCAAAATATGAGCTAGAGTGTATCCCAGGAAGTCAATTCCTGGATTCATCCCAAAAATCATGATGGGTAAAATGGCCATGATATTTCTGCAAAATAACATGGACAAGAAATCAGTTTCTGTGAAGTTACATTTTGGAATCAAGGTGCATTGGGAAGTAATGTTGGAGAAGGAGGGAGGAACACATATCTCTCGACAGGACCAGAGAAGTGCGGAAAGTTGGGGTCACAGTGCATTGTCCCTGCGGAAAGAGAAAGCTGCCACTTTTCAGGTGGTGGAAGAAATCAACCACCCTGCACATAGGGAGTTCTAAGGAGCAACGAAGAGGTGGCAGGCCAGAAACAAACAGAAGATAGTCCAAACGGAAGTGCCACAGGCCACAGGTCAGGCAGGGCAGAGACCCTGAAGTAGGCCAGCCACTCTACACTCCCAGTAAACAAGGCTGGCTCATGAAGAGAAACCCAAACAATGCGTCCAGCTCTCTGCAAATATTTGTTCATTCTGGTGAGGAGACACGAGACACATTCAATATCAGAATTTCCAAACTGCATTCCAATTCGGAATGAAATGATCTTGGGAATAGATTCCTCTGGAAATTCTTTGGTTGGTGACCTTTTCTGTACTGAATTGGACTCTTATCTATTTTCTCCAGACAGAAGAGGGAACACTTTATTTGGGAAAATAGATCTGCGAGGTTCCCATTCTCAGATGCCACCTACAATAAATGCATAGTGATATGTGCTCTTGTTAATATATGAAAGTTATTGTCTAAGCCCTTGGCTATCTTTTTTTTTTTTTTTGTCTTAGATCAATATTTCCAAAACATAGCCTGTAGTTTCTAGAACAGAAGCAGAACCAGTTCTGACTGATGAATGCTGTATTCTATCCATGCAGATGACTGGTTTACACTCTTCTGATAAGACGGGGCCAAAGTTTTCAATTCCATCCTCAACTTTTCCTAAGTCAAGTTCAACTGTTTCAGAGATAACACAGCCTCCCTCCTATGAAGATGCCGTAAAGCAGGTAACTGCATAATTTGTTTCTTTGCAGAAGAATAGACTGAGTAAATGGCCATTGTGTCACTTCAATAAGCTTTGTGTAATTCATGGATTCTGATATTCAGTGTGTTGGGCGTCTCCCCACCAGAATGAGCCAAACCCCTAGACACTGATTGTAAATAGGTGTGCATAGAAGCTTCGGGAGTCAGAGAGGAGGTTCACATGCCCAGACTTGGTGCCAGCTCTGCCCCCTGCCAGTTGCCATTGCCACTAACATTGGGTAAATATTCAACTTCTCTACCAAAACAGGAGCAAAGACTCTGGATAATCTGGCACTTACCACATTTCTCAGGCACATAATCAATACTCAAATATAGGAAAGCTATTGTCAGGGTAATATTTTCTCAGGTTCTTTCTTGCTGTAAAATTTAATGATCCTGGCCAAATTTTGGTGTTTCTCGTAGCTAGTTAGTGAATGCAGGGGGGTTCATTGTATTTTGTACTTCCATTTGCATGTGGAATGTTCCTTCCATCCTCCCTTCTCTTCCCTTCCCTTTCTTCCTTCCCTTCTTTCTTCCCTTTCTTCCTTTCTGTCCTTTCTCTCTTTCCGTCTATCTTGATAGAGTCTCTCTCTGTTGCCCAGGCTAGATAGAGTGCTGTGGTGTCAGCCTAGCTCACAGCAACCTCAAACTCCTGGGTTCAAGGGATCCTCCTCAGCCTCCCAAGTAGCTGGGACTACAGGCAACTGCCACAACACCCAGATAATTTTTTTTTTATTTTTTAGTAGAGACAGAGTCTTGCTCTTACTCAGGTTGTTCTCGAACTCCTGACCTCTCAGAGCACTAGAATAATAAACATGAGCCACCATGCCTAGTCTACATTAGGAGAGTTTCAAAATAAAAAAGTAAGAAAAGGAAAAATGAGTAATGATCTTATACCTCAAGTGGTCTGAGGGTGGGTAAGGTATTAGACACCCTTCCTATGTGCTAACCCAGAAAAGAGCATGTCTATCAGTTCCTGCATACTAGTGTCCCACGAGCAAAGTCAGTTCACGGTTAAGTGTCATTTGACGTAAAGACTGTTTCAAATGTCAAATATCAGGAGATGTTATGCAAAGTGGGTTTTCTCATTTGTGAAAAATTAGAGACCTGGGAGCCACATTTCTGCCCGACAACAATTGCTAAAAGCAAAGTATCCGTTGCCACTTTGAGCCCCCTGGGCTCTGCTCTGCTTTCTACCTCTCTTTCTCATTCTGTACCTGGCTCACGTATATGCGCTGCCAGAACCTGCAGGCATCTGTGCCTTCTGGACTGGTGTATGATTTTCTTTGATCAGTGCTCTCATCCTCATTGGTTATTGATGCCTGGGTTATTGGGTCTGACCTGGCAGAGCTGTGAGACGGGTAATGCCTTGTTCCTCCTGTCCCTTCCCCTGGGATCTGTAAACACCAGCTGATCTATCATAGTTTCCAAAGAAAAGGAAAAGGCCAGGCAGAGTGGACTTCCAGAGATAAGACTCTGTCTAGGTCAGGTGAGCCAGCGAGGAGGAGGCAGACCCTACCATTGTCTATAGGTTCTTCAATCTATTGCAATGAGGAACCAACAAAATCGTGGCCATGTTATTGGGCCACACCCACAACATGCATGCAAGAGACAGATGCAAGTCCCTGAAAATGAGAAAAAGATATCTTCTATGTATTAAGATCCCCTGTCCTTGGGATGGAAACATCTCAAATGACTGAACTTCCTCTATCATATTCTGAGCTGGGAAGCATTCTGCCTTCTTTTCCCCTTCTCTTATTTTAGTAGATTGTTTTATTCCATAATTTACCTGCTTAAAATTAATAGTGAAGTTTAATCAAATATAGTTCAAAAACCTTTTGCCAGTAGACGCATGTTCATAACAGCATTATTCACTATAACCAGAAGATGGAAACAGCCCAAGTCCATTGACAAATTAATGTATAAACAAAATGTGGTCTACCCATACAATGGAATATTATTCAGTCTTAAAAGGAAAGAAAACTCTGACATACGCTACAGCATAGATGAAACTTGAGGTCATTACTCTTAGTGAAACGAGCTAGTCACAAAAGGACAAATCTAGGAGGAGTCTAGAGTAGTCAGACTCATAGAGACAGAAGGAAAAATGATGGTTGCAGGGGCTGAGGGTGGAGGAACAAGGGTGAGAAGTTATTTTTTAGTGGGTGGAAAGTTTTAATTTTGCAAAATGAAAAGAGTTCTGGAGATTGATGGTGGTGATGTTTGTACGATGTGAATGCAGTTGATGCCACTTAAGTTATGCCATTAAAAATGATTAAGATCGTCTGGGTATGGTGGCTCATGCCTGAATCCTAGCATTGGGGGATGTCAAGGAGGGAGCATACATTGAACTCAGGAGTTCAAGACCAGCCTGAGTGAGAATGAGATCCCCATCTCTACTAAAAACAGAAAAATTAGCCAGGCATGGTGGCGGGTGCCTACAGTACCAGCTACTTGGGAGGCTGAGGGAGGAGGATCCCTTGAACCCAGGAGTTTGAGGTTGCTGTGAGCCAAGCTGACACTACAGCACTCCAGCACTGGGTAACAGAGACTCTGCCTAAAAAAAAAAAAAAAGGTTAAGATAGTAAATTTTAAGTCATATGTATTTTACCACAATTTAAAAAAATAAGCCTTAATCAAACCTAGTTTAAAACCCTGCACCACTGCTTCTAATGGTTTTCTATAGAAGTAGCCATCTTCTAACTTCTTGGTTCTCCTTTGGTTAATTTAAAAATAGCAAATGACTCGGAGTCAGCAGATGGATGAACTCCTGGACGTCCTCATTGAAAGTGGAGGTAAGACTGCCTTGTGTTCCGCCCACAGGACACTGTCCCTGTGTGAACCCTAGGGACTGACACTGGGAGCCTGGGTCAGATGTGTACTGTGAGTCAGGTGCACCCAGTAGTCCACAGGTAGAGTTTCCTCTGAGCTCCCTGTGCACTTCTAGAGTAGATGAAAGAAGGCATAGTGAATAATTTCTCATTGCCTTTTTCTGGGGAACATTTTTCACTAATCATTTTAACAGTTTTCATTTTTTAGCCCAATCCCCGTTTCCCTAAATGTTTCTCTCCCTATACCATTTTTTCCTACTATTCTCTTCTCAATGTCCCTGACTCCTTGATTTTAAGAATAAGAACAAAGCAAATAATGAAAGCTTTGTGTTACCTACTCAAAATGAAATTCAATCAGTGATCTTCTGTTGGATGGTCCATTCATGCTCAAATGCTATTCAAGCTAGCAATAAAAAATAATTAACATGTTCTTTTCGTTTCCTTTTAATTCATTCATTTATTTATTTAAAGAAACATTATGGAATGTGTGCCCAGAATTAGAAAACACAGAAATGAGCAAGATGACCTAAGGAGGATATGTAGGTAAAAAAAGAAAACAGGTCAGGGCTGAACCCTTAAAGGGATAACACATGAAGTTTCAGAGAAAGAGGCAGCAAAGGACTCCGAGAAGCGGTGGCAGGCATTGTGCTAGGCCAAACGCTGCACCCATAAAAGTCCCCACCTTTCTGGAGTTCAGCGTCTAGTAACGATATAGACAATAAGCAAGTGAACAGACATTTCCTCCATTCCCACAAGAGAGGGATAGGAACAGGTGCATGTACATATGTAAGCTTGGTGATGGAAAGATGAGAGAGTTTATGTCAGACCCCCTTATTATTTTTTTACTTAAGTATGTGATTTGGCAAGATCAGCAAAGACTAAGGGGGCAAGAGAGGAAGATGGGAGAATCAAGAAAAGAAGGACAGTTATGCATTAACCATGCGTGAGTTTTCTGGAGAAACGTGGTAGGGTGGTGAGGCAGTCTTAAATGCCAGTTGCAGGCTTAACATTATGAGTCAAATGAAACCAGTTGGTTTTGTTGTGTTGACTTTTTCCTTGCAATGTTCCACTGCTCCCAGGCAGGCAGAGAGAAGACTGATGCTGAGGTTTATCCAGGGTGGGTTGGTTTTGTCAGGGATGAGTGGTAAAAGGAGAGTAGAGCCAGGGGATTGAGAGTATCTGAAGAATGTATCTGCAATGGTGGCTCAAAGAGTACAGGCTGGACAAGGAAAGAAGTGAAGCCCAGAAGGGCCTGGTAGACAGTGATGAAATAGTAGAGGCAGTGGACTGGCATGACTCCAGGTGGCTGAAGAGTGATTGTCCTGGGGTGTTTAATAAGTGACATTGGTGGAGGGGAGTCGGTGGATAAACAACGGGAGATTTTGCTTGAAACTGAGCTGTCTGAGGGATGTAGGGGCTGTCTGACAGGGTGGGAATGCTCTGGAGTTGGGGGAGGTGTCAAGGCACAGAGAGGCCAGAATGAACACTGGGTAATTTCAAGGATGTTAGCACAAAGAATGAGCAGAGCTGACGTGGGGACAAGGCAATGGACTTGGGCACAGAGGTTTTGGGTTTTTTATTTTTTCAGCAATAATTATAATTTAAGGAGTCCTCTTTAAAAAAAACCGAATAAGGAATTCAACATAAAAATTCATTATAATAATCTATATTCCATCATTGATCATGCTAGTTTTTTGTTTATTTAATTTAACATACTATCATGGTTTACTATTTCTGTCCTTCAATTTAGTTATAGATTTCCCTGCTCTCTTAGAGAAACTCCTTTCACAAAAGAGAATAATATTTTTGTATATAAGATAGTTTCTTACTATATGCTGTTTGCATCTAGAAATTTCCTAATGCAGAACAAGTGAACTTGCAATAGCTATTGTCTTAGTGCTTTTCTTCCCTCCTATGTATTTTCTTATTCATAATCATTAAAAAACATGAATATGTTCCTAGTATTTAAGGTAGGTTTCTTCTACTTGGGAGTACAGTTTGCAGTAGATAAGGACTGACCTGGCGGCTGGTGTGGGGCCAGTGTGCCCCTTATACACTCAAACCAATGAGGAGTTGTGAGAAGGAAGGAGAACCATCTAAACATGGGGATGGGAGTGTACACAATCCCTTCCTTTCAGGCCACCATCAGGGGTGGACTGGAGGATACAGCATCCTGGAGGGACAGCCAGGGGTGGGAGAAGAGAGTTTGATAATCACAGAGTGGAATTCCCAGAACAGAAGGGTTTGGGACAGATAGTAAGGGAGAAGAATTGGGGATTGATTATAAACAGCCATTTAGGGATGACCCTGGGTGGTGAGCAATGACTAAGGAAGTGTGGCCGTCTTCTGTGCCTACATGCAACTCTGTCACTACAAAGACCCGTATCACGTGACATGCTCAAATTGAAGTGATTTAACAATTCCCATTGTGTTTTACTGACAGAAATGCCAGCTGATGCCAGAGAGGATCATTCATGTCTTCAAAAAGTCCCAAAGATACCTGGGCCTTCCCAGAGCCCAACTGCCATCCTGCCCAAATCCTCGGGGTCCTTTGAACAAGCATCTTCAGGAGGCCAGCTGCCCTTTGACCACTATGCCACTGACAGCGATGAGCACCTTGAAGTCTTATTAAACTCCCAGAGTCCCTTAGGAAAGGTGAGTGATGTTGCCCTTCTGAAAATAGGGGGCGAGGAGCCTCCTTTTGAGGGGATCATGGACGGATTCTCCGGAAAGGCTGCAGAAGACCTCTTCAATGCTCATGAGATCCTCCCAGGCCCCCTCTCCCCAATGCACACACAGTTCTCATCCTCTTCTGTGGACAGCAGTGGGCTGCAGCTGAGCTTCACCGAGTCGCCTTGGGAAACCATGGAATGGTTGGACCTCACGCCACCAAGTTCTACACCAGGCTTTAGCTCCGTCACCACCAGTGGTCCCAGCATCTTTAACATCGATTTTCTGGACGTCACAGATCTCAATTTGAATTCTCCCATGGACCTTCACTTACAGCAATGGTAGAATGCCTGATCCAACAGTGGTCAAGAAGACCCAGAGGCATTCCATGGGGAAAGCACACAACATAAATGTTTTTACTACCCAAAAGAAGAAGGAAGTTAAAGAGAAGCAATGGAGACTTCCATGACAGTCAACAAGAACAAATAAGGAGTCATTTTTTAAAATAGATATAATGTAATATTTACCAATATTCAGTAACTGTTAATGATGTCAGCAATGCAATCAAAAATTTGCTTTCTCAGATTATTAAGGCTGCCCCCCTAAAAATTCTTTCACTGCTTTTTCAAAATACTTTTTTTCTAGCCCATCATTTTTCTCAGGCATTGTTGGGGCAGAAGCTGATACGCATTGTAAGCTTTTCTCATGAATTTACTAGACATCTGTGTGAAGAAAATGTAAAGTCTTTCAGGAGTACAGGGAAGCCAGCCCCTCAAAGATGATGGAAGACATACCCATGGTGCAGGCTGCTGCCTGGCTCTCCCTTTCCTGTCTTTCCAAAGAAACTCCAGATCTAGCATCGTAAAGGAGTTCTTGAGACAATCAAGGGACAGAATTGATCCATTCCCAGGGAAGCAAATTCAACTCAGTGGCCCTCTGCCAGGGAAGTCCAGCCCCACTGGAGGTAGCCAGGACTCTCTGTGGTCACTGAAAATATCTTTAGTCTAGACAACTCCACCCAGAACTTTATTCTGTTTAAGCCAGTGGCCCGATCATTCCCACCATCTCCATGAGAACCCTGAAGCAGGAAAATCTCCTACCCCTGAAGGAGAGATCTTTGGTTCTCCAACACACCTCCCTTTAGTTCAAAGACTAGAGATGACCACAGAGGCAGACAGAAAGATATCTGTAGACCCATGAAGCCACATCAGGGATCCTTCAGACAGGACTAGAGAACAATATTGTTTCACAAACCCTGGGAATAAATACCATGGGTTACTATAGCAAGATTATCACTTATGGGGGCCAACTAAATTTTTTGTTTTGTTTTGTTTTCTTATTACCAGTTTTGTTTTGTTTTTTTCCACTCCACTTTTCCTTCTAGATACCAATCCATTCTTGCTCCTCTTTGACAGTCTTTCTTTTTCTGCCCCAGCATGAAAGGGGAAAACTTCTCAGTTCTCACAAGCTGCCATACTCCCAATAAAGCCATTTTTCAAAATACTGACAGTCCAGTTTCTTCTGGAGAACTCATTCACCATATGCACAACTTGCTGTGAAAAGAAGTCATGCGAATTTCCTTAGGAAGAAACCAGTGAGTAGGCCCATCAGTCACAAAGATCACTCTATTCTTTATTGGACTGATAAGCAAACACTGGTTTCTGTTGCCCTGGGGAAATTGGAAATCATTACAGTGTAAAGATAAATGTGGAGGATATATACAGGAAAAGGAGTATTTAGAGGCTCTGAAAGAAAACACAATTGCAAGTTGAAAGTGATGGAAGGAAAAGACATTGATCTAATAAGCTGTATTCCTTATTACCTCTTGTGCTTTGGCTGGGAGATGGAAAAAAACTCAAATTGCAGAACAGTTTCTGGGAAGCTCACTGTGGCTCCAATTCACCATTTTATAGTGTTGCATGCTGTAGAAAGGAGCTATTGCTGTTGTTTTGTTTTGTTTTTATTTAAATCACTAAGGCACTGTTTTCTTCTTTTGTAAAAAAAAAATGTTCACTGTGCACTTATAGAGAAAATAATCAAAAACGTTGTGATTTTAGAAGTTCTCTTTTTGATAAACCAAAGATTTAGAAGTCATTCCATTGTTAACTTGTAAAAATGTGTGAACACAGTGTTTTTGGTGACTGTTACTCTGAAAGCTGCCAAATCTTATTCTGGGGGATGCGGTGGGTAAAATACACACACAAACACACACGTGTGTATATAGATATATACATATGTGTGTACAGGTGTGTGCACGTATCCTGAAAAGCAGTGTCACAGAGTTCTATGCCAAAAGCCTGTAACTCTGCTGTGAATGGTCCCTGGCCTTTCTCACTATGAGTTCCTGATTAATCAACCAGACTCCACGTTGCCTCTCTGTGTATGACTAATGGCTCCAGCCGATGACTCACAGCCACTTGCTTACCGTGAACAAGCTCGTCTTGGCAATGAACATGGATGTGAAAAGACAGAGCAACTTCACCATTAGCAGCTGAAATGGTAGCAAAATCTCTTGTAGAGGAGCATGAAAGGAACATGAAAATCATTTTACATTCCTTGATCCACATGGTCAATGTTTTATTTTGCTTTTATGTCAGTCATCAGATCCAAAAATCTAGAGGGGAAAGTTATCAGGGTTTTCTTTGAAGATGAAGCTACAGGGAGAAAACCTTATTAACACATTCCATACATTTTTTCATTCCTCAGCTGTGGCCTTTTGGGGTCTTGGCAGAGCTTGCTGGAGAGTACCCTTTTCAGGTGTCCTGTTGTATTACTTGTATGTTATTTCCACCCCCAACCCCTTTACTTTCTTTGGAAAACAAAATCACATGGTTTCCCTACTCTGAGATCCTGGTCAGAGTGTTAATTATTTTTTTCCTTTGGGTATTTGTATCTGAGAGACTAGACCTAGTTTGAAAGCCTTTGTCCTTTGCCAGAGTGTATTTTTCCATTGGGATCTTTCTAGATATTTCCCAGGACTGACAAACGCATCTCACAGTTCATAGAAGATAAGAGGGGTCCTGTCTATTGCTGCAGCCCAGCATAGTTCACAGAGTAGATTCCTGGACAACCAGTCTCCACTTCCTCCCACAGTTGCCACAAACCATATTCATCCCATCTCTTCTTGGCTCAGATGTGAGATTTCGGAGTGAGTGGAGATAATTGGAAGAAAATTGATGAAGGTGGCTGCTCCCAGGAGATCAGATAATCCATGTAAATTTGTCTGTCTCCTGTTGGGGATTTTATTTAAACTTTTAGTTGTGTTCTCTTTTGTAGTGACAGATGACTAAAAGATGCACAGTGACTTATGAAGATGTCCACATTCAAGTTTCTGAATGCTCCTGGGGCCCAAAGATGACCACAGGTAGTATTCTTAAGTCCACTGGAGCCCCTATGGTGATGGACTTGGAGACACTTGCAGGGATTCCCAGTGTTGCCACAGTCCACTAGATTCGTATGTACCAAGGGAGTCAGAGAACGTATTCGTGCAAATGCTTTCAGGGAGCCAGGGCTCATTAGTAGCAGCCCTGCTTCTAACAATATTGAGACAACACACGTTCTATTATAAGAGGAGGAGGGATAGAGGAGGAGGGACAGAAAGAGAGAGAGAAGAAGAAAGGAAAGGAGGGAGGAAGAGTAAAAGAGCCCAACTTCCTGATCTATGAGCCTGTCAGTTCAGCTAAGTTGTCACATTATGAAAACTATAGCAAATTTTTAAATGAGAAGTGGTTCTTAATGATACAGATTGTCCCAGTAAATTAAAAACCAAGGCAGCATGCAGTTGAATAATCAAGGGTCTATGAACCATTAGCCTTTGCCCTTCAAAAACATTTATTTCCAATCTAAAAAAAAAAAAAAATTGGGAGGGAGATTCAATAAATAAAAAACATTCCAAACATTTAAGACATGGTTTTGTTTTGTTTTGTTTTTTTCCAAATATTATTTATTTTAAATTCAGTCAACTCTTCTAGGAACAGATTCTGGTCTGGCTGAAAACTCCTACATCAAACTGATTTATGCAATGGATAATTAATTGATGATTACCACAGGCAGAGTACACAAACCTTCAGTTCTCCAATATGAATTGATTCAGTAGACTTTTCAGATTTCAAATGACTGGGGACTTGTAGTTTCTATAAACAATCTCACCAAGTATCTCCCCCAGTTCTCATACCAGAAACCTTTCTGTTATGATAAAAAGGGAGTCTTCATTTTTTTTTTCAGAAGGGAGAGTGAAGGGCCCTTTTTAGCTAAAAAGCTCTCTCCCATCCTAAGACTCTTGTTTCTTTCTCTGTGGTCAAATGGCAGTTGTCATTCCCATGGAGATGTGTTAATATCTCCCACCATTTAAAGCATCTGTGAGAGTTTGAAGATTTGTTTTGGTTGCCAGATACAGAAACCCTTTGAAAAAAAAGGGAGGGAATGAGGGAGAAACATTGTGTTTGGTCTTACCCCTATCCTCAATTATCTCAGCAAGGCTACCTGTAGTGGGGGGAAGAGAGGATCTAGGTGAGCCTCCATCCCTTAAGGGAAAAGCTCCAAAGAGCATGAAGGCAATTTGGTCTTCCCTCCAGGCCTTGGCTGCCTTCCTCAGAGCAGGAAGCCCACATTGCTGGTGTGCAGTTTCCTATCAGATAGGCGAAAACACGTAGTGAAGAGAATCTGAAGTCTTGGTTTTTTTCATAAATCTAATATAAACCAGTAGGGTGGTACAAATATTTTATTAGATGATATTAATAGGCACACAGACTCCAGGTCCTGGAACAAGATGGTCCCACAGTGCCTAGAGACAGCCAGTTGTGTTAAGGATTTGGGTTTCGTTCTGGAGTCCATGTTTTCAGAGAAACCCTGGCTAGGTTAAAACTATCCATGATTTCAAGTCAGGAAGGCATCTGGGATGAATTTCACTATTATCTGCCAGGGATATTGTAATAGGACTCGTTGGCTCCAATAACATGGAAGTTCCCTTCTGATTCTAGAACTTGGTGATTTTCCCTATGAATGAACACAAACAACCCCATTGCTGTCTCTTGTGCTGATTTTAACCCTCTGCTTCCATCGTGGACACTGGTAGCTTGTGTTTTTTTAGAAATGGTTTAATGGCTCCCGAGTGTTGGTGGGGAAAGGGAGTATGAAGATCAGGAATCTGGAAGCTATCATAATGTTTTCCAAAAGAACTGAACCTACACTGCCCGGAGTTCCTTTCCAAGGGGCCTGCACAAGGACTGAGGGCGTTGTACTGCTGAGTGCTTAAAACCTTCCTCGGGGAAGCACAGAGAGGTGCCTTCCACAGAACAAAGGAGAAAGCATCCTGCCTTCTCGGCAGGACCCTGTGGAATGGTGTTTTCATCTTGGTCTCCTTTGCTCAACTCTACATAACCAGAAAGAAATGTGGGTGAGCACGAAGGCAAGAAGCAATGGCTAAAATACCAAAGTTGGCATGTGTTCTTTTTTTTTTAAAAAAAAATGCATATATTTTTAAATAAAATGTTTATTTTAAAAAGAAATGCAAACTTTGTTTCTTGGCTGTATGCTGTACCCATGCCCTGGTGCTATGTGTTATTTACATGTATTATTTTCTTTTATTCTCACAACGGTCCCAGGAAGTGGTACCATTATTATCCCCATTTTTGCAAAAGAAACTCAGGCTCAGAGAAGCA